TTTCAGTTTTGTGGATTATTCAAACAGAATTTAGTGGGGACAAGAACTAAATGCTTTAAAAGTTAACAAAAAGTTTTCCATAGAAATTATCCACCACACCAACAGAACGTAAGAGAGTTTCATAACCCTTCTATTTACTCTTTTATCTATTCCATTTGAATGTTCTTAACAGAGAATTTTTTCTGTACTGCAGACCTGTATTTTCATTTCCAGTTGTATATTGTATCTATTGGATTCTGCGAGGTTTTCCCAAAGACGCTGTGTCCCTTGCATGAGGCATGACAGCTCTCCCCTGTAGCAACGTTGCCTGCGGCAGTTGTCTTCTTCGCTTGCAGCAATGGCTAGCGGATTGCAGGAGGCATGGTCAGACCTTCATTTCTCTAGACTTGCCAATGCTGGAGATGGTCTGCTTGAGTCCTGGGCTACTGTGTTGCTAAGGCTGGGACTGCTGGGAGGGAGAATCACAGGGCAGCATTCCTTGGCCATGTCTCTGGGGTTCTCTCACAGGAGCCATTGCTCGTGTACAGGCAGAGGCGGTAAGATGAGATCTAGCCAACATGTGAGGAAATGCGGAACAGGCCACAACTGCAGAGGTCTGCAGACTCTCGGCACCCTCTGTTCCCTTCCTCCCTGTCCACCTCAGTCCTCACTATCAGCATCTCATCTTTCAACACCTCTCAGTCTCCAGTTCTAGAGCTCTGCACGGTGCTGCCAAAACACTACTCCTTGGCCTTCAAACACTCCGTCACCCTCCCTGGGCACAGCCACACTCTTCAGCAGTGTAGGTAACAGCCTCTGCCATTCCAATTCAACTAAACCACTTCACTGCGGGCACCCAGCATCCTGATGCTCGTCCGTTAAATGTTCCTCAGTCCTGGTGCACGACAGAGATCTATGTCATGGACTGGTTCTCCTCAGACATGGAAGGAAATTGATATACACAGGAAAAGAAAGCCTGTCCTCTCTCTTTTCTTCCTGATGTTTACCTGGAGCAGGGCACTGTCTGAGGGTTTCGGACAAGGAAAGTTGCTTTCCTCCTGAGTGAATTTCTCTGCCTGTCCATGTTGGACAGGAGCACTGTGCTAGTCTCATCTCTTTGTAGGGCTCTTTCGCATAGGAATGCTGGACATTGAGGCACTGGAAACACTAATATGAAGCTTGCACCTTTCTAACCTGAGCCTTGCACCACAGAAGCAGTGAGACTATAGAGTATATTTTCTTATTTTAAAATGAAAAATGAAGAGTTTCTCCTCACAGGGAGTAGGGGGTGAGGGAAAGAAGAAGGGTGTTTAAGTGCCAGGTGACAATGTCCATCACACTGCTCAGTGATGAAGCTAAGAAGACAAAAATAGACAAAGTGACCTCATGGCTTTCAGCAGCAATGCCTACGAGACAAAAGAGAGGCTTTAAAAGGCTTGTGGAGCTGATAGCAAAGGGCTTGGACACCTCAGAGTTTTGGTTCTGCTCCAGCAGGGAACTGCTTTGCTTCTCTCCCACTGCCTCTCTTTCTGTTTATGGGGAGCTGTGAATTAAACGGGCTTTGTGACATGCCCAGCTCTCCAGGTCTGGACTCTGCCTTCTCGAGCTTGGATCAGCCGTATGCGGGTACAGATGTCTCCTCTTTTCTATTTTTCTTTTTTCTTTTCTTTTCTTTTCTTTTCTTTTCTTTTCTTTTCTTTTCTTTTCTTTTCTTTTCTTTTCTTTTCTTTTCTTTTCTTTTCTTTTCTCTTCTTTTCTCTTCTTTTCTTTTCTTTTCTTCTCTTTTCTTCTCTTTTCTTTACTTTGTTCTTTTCTTTTTTTCTTTTCTTTTCTCTTTTTTTCTTTTCTCTTCTCTTTTTCTTCTCTTATTTTCTTTCTTTTGTCTCTTCTCTTCTCTTTTCCTTTTTTCCTCTTTTCTTTTTTCTTTCTTTTCTTTTTTTTTTTTCCTTTCTTTCCCCTTTCCTTTCCACTCATTTTTCTTCTCCTCTCCTTCCCCTGTTCCTTGGCCTATTCTGATTTCACTTTCGCTCTTTACCCTCAGTAAGTCATCTCAGAAAGATTTCTCTTTCTCTTTTTTTTTAAACTGTTGTGGGAGATCGTAGTTTGAATAGCACCATCATTTTTCTGTTAGGAGGACTGGTGTAATTAGTTACGTGCTTTAGCCTTTGACAAGGAGGAAAGTAGGAAGCAAAGAAGAGGGAGGTGAGTAGCAGGTCCCTGAAGGTCTTACTTGCCAGCTGCTTCGGAACACAGAGTAGTTCAGAGCAACTTCCCAGGGAAGCTGTACATGGATGCTAATGCTGAGCCAGGACCAAGAGCTGGTGGGGACATAGCCAAGGCTGTCTACTGCTATATTTTCTCTGACAGTATTTGCTAGCCCAGACTGTAGAATTGAGCGCTTTCATGGCACTCTGCTGTCGGAAGGGGCTGCACAGACACTCACTTTGGATGGTGTCTCTCCCTAGCTGCTAGCTCCCGATGCCAGGAATCCTCTTGTGAGTCACTCAGGGTCCTTTACATATTCTGCACTTGACTGAGGTTCTGTAGTGCCGCTCTTTCTCCTTGTAAATTTAGAAGCAAAATACAAGCTGGGTGAGGTGTAGTAGCTTGTAGCAAGGATGCTTACAGCGAGAAAGAAATCTCTCTGATTTCCTCCCTTGTGAACAACCCCCAACGTGTGCAGATTTGTAAGTGAAGTGGACAGACCTTCAGGGACTGTAGCTCGTTTCCATCAGGGACAGCAGGTCTTTGAGGGCAAGTCTATGACTGCTCTGAAGAGCACTAAGTCTCCACAAAAACCTGGACACTACTTCAGTCCTGGTTCAGCAAGGCGGAATCATTCTGTAAGGAAGGTTTTGCAGAGAGCTTTCACTTTGCAAGTCGAAGTACAGATAGTGAGCCTTTTTTTCAGGACTGATTTTGCTGTTTCCAGTTTTCTGGGTGCAAAGGGGAGGAATGGATTGTGCATCCACGTAAGGAGATCTCAAACTGCAGAGGTCCGCTTGCTGAAATCCCAAGCAGCAGCATGTGCTATGGAATGGCTGAAAACCTTGAGAAGAGTCTTTCCTTGTATTTATCTTAAGCTTCCTGAAAGGATGACTGCTCTGCAACTCAACATGTTATTTTCAGTATGGGGTGAGAGAGGGAAGCTCTTTCTGCTGTGGTTACACTGGTGCAGTATGGAATGATGACACCCACCACAATTGTGCAGCCCAGCCAGGTTTTGGGGGACATCTCCAGCCCTCAGGCAAACTAGTATCCTTCTTAGCTAAGGTCCCTGTCCCCCACTGCAGGTAACTTTGCCACATTAGCAGGTGCCCGTTGAATGAATGCTGTGTGATAAATGGTCAGAAGTGAGATCCTGAGAGGACTGAGCAGCTTTCATCCTCTCTTGAGCTAACACCTTCCTCCAGCACTGCCTGCAGATCTCCCCTCTCCTCTCCTCTGCTCTCCTCTCCTCTGCTCTCCTCTGCTCTCCTCTCCTCTCCTCTCCTCTCCTCTCCTCTCCTCTCCAAAAAAAAAACGCGGACAGGGACTGCAGTGGCTGCTGTGGCCGCTCGTCCCCGGCATTGGCCTCTTGTGGCGGTAGGAAGGACGGGATGATGCGAAAGGCTGAGCCCTTACACCAGAAGGGTAGGGTTTGGCAGTGTTCGGAAGGAAAAATACAGATTTCGAGACCAGCCTGGGATGATTTCAGTCTTTAGAACCACTCGGGAACCTCCTTTTGTTTCCTGGGTTGCGTCGTGGTTACCGGCGAAAGGAAAAGGGGTCACAAGTCCCCTCCCCTCCCCTCTCCTCTCCTCTCCTCTCCTCTCTTTTGAGAATGTCAGGACTGGACAAGGTGCCACACAGTTTTTTGACAAATTATGAGATGCAGGCAGTGGATGGATGTTTTATCTGTACTGTCATGCTGGGAAAAAGACAACGGGAGTAAGGAAAAGGACGAAATCAAAGAAATTGGAAATTAGTCTATGGTTTAGGTGTGTGGGTTTTTTTCTGTGCAAAGTTAGCGCTGATTTCTGTCACTTGAAGACCGATTCAAAGCATGCCCATGCTTTCCGTAGGGCAGCCGAGTTTGGTTTTATTATTGAATCTTGTTCACCCCCTGCTTTCCCTGCACGCAAGGCAGAGAACACAATGTTCCTCCCTCAGGCTTTACTGACCGCTGGGCTGGCAGAGCAGGTGGAAAATGATTATCCCACACTTTCCTGCCAGTGTCCCAACAGGTGCTGGCTTTTCCAAGCAAGCCTGTCTCAGTGGATTCCTTCTGGCCTGGCTGATAGGTTGTGGGGGTCTGGGATTCTTGCTCAGGAGCAAGGGCTCTTCTTCCTTGCTGGGCCTGGGGCAGGAGCAAGGGTGAAAACATGCCTCCTGCTGTCACAGGGCTGCTGCAGAGAGCAGCAAGCAGCCCTACACACAACCCTGCTGCAAGACGCTCTGACTCTGTAGCTGGCACTGCAGGGTGCAGCGCAGGAGCAGCCCGGCTGTGCCCGCAGAGCACCTCTCCCATTGCACACATGCACAGGTGCTAACGGTAGCAGTGGCCGCTTCCCAAACGCTCAGAGCCAGGAGGATTGCTTGCTCCTGGGAATCTGGAGGTAGGAGGAAGGTCTACAAAAAGCAGGGCTCCACCTTCAGGGTGATGAGTAAATGGTAAAAATTCCCTGGAGCAAGGGCATGCACTGTACAAACGCGGTGAGATACAGCCCGGGACTCTTGGCCACGTGCTGCAGAAATAGCAGATCCCAGGATTTCTGACCAGGAAACAGAGAGCGGCCGCCAGACTGGGGGGGAGTTCCCTCCCCACACCTGCACGGACTTGT